TTTTATGAAAATGAGTGATTTTGAGATCAATTGTGTTGGGGTGGACCTTATTAAAGATTCTGCTCAAAATTAAGTTAGTGAGTTTTTCTTTTGTCCCTCTTTTGCATATGAATTCCAAATAAATTTTTGGTTATAGTTTCTAACTGGTTGTTGTCTTACAGTTCTAAAGTAGATAAAGTACATGTTCCATCAATAGCTTGTAGTTCTAGAAAAATAATAACAATTTATCTTTCGCTTCTCTGCTAGTTAAATACTCAGGCGTTGTTCAAATCTCTTTTCAAATTCAAGTCAAACATTACCTTCCACTTCAATTTCTGAAACCTAAGTCTAATCTGCAAAATCCATTTGTTTACTTCTGTCACTCTTGTAGTTTATTCATTCAGAAAAGGAGGTATAAATAAGTCTTCTGTTTTCTGAAAATATGTGTGTTTTGGCATGTCTTGTATTGGGAAGGAGCATGTCATAGATGCTGCAAAAAATCATATAGGTAATACTGTGGACAAGTAAAATTATTCTAGTGGTAATTTCTGTCAACTGAATCTCAAATAAATTTGTAGCCACCTTGGGAATCTTGTTAGTTTCTTATCTACGGCTGTTGTTTCAAAATTGTTTTCTTACAGCTCTGAAGTAGATTAAGTGATAGATTCATCCACTGCTTGTGGTTACATGTGAAAACTATTCTAAATATAATACAAGAGATGACTCCCCGACATTTCAAATACTAGTATCTTCCTTGGGATTTTCTCTTTATTCTCTCTCCATGGCATCACCAAAAGGAATTTACAAAAGTTGGTTGTATCAAGCACAACATAGTTAAGATCGAGTGCTCAGTTGTAGGATATGTGCAAGACTTCTGGAGGGTGCTACGATCGAAGCAAGACTGTTTTTTGTTGCCAGCGTGGTCAGGATCGAGATCTTATAGCAGAAACATAACATAGCAGGATACTATCACGTGTATGTACATTTTCTTTTTTACTCACATCTTAGATGTATTATGGTCTTAACTCTCATTTTCACTCAATATTAAGTGTATGTACGATTTCTTTTTCTATGCCTATATTTGCATCATGTTACTTGGTTGTATGATGTAATTTTTGCTCACATTTCGTTTTGGTCTGTACCATGTTATTTTTGCATCTGCAAAATTACTTACTTCTGCTAGGAATCGGTGTCGATCATGATACAGTTAATGCAACTGGCCAGGCTTTATCATGTAGTATGTCTTGTTGGTAGTTTAGTTAGGCTTTATCATCTACAAAATGTTTGTTTTAATTTCCTTGAATCCTATGTATGTTAACAAACACTGTCCAACTCCATCATCATTAGTGCCTAAAATACTGTCCATGTTTAATATTGTTTGCTTCTGGTTACGGCTATGTTCAATTATAAATTGAAAACCATCAAATTTGACATGCTATTTTTTTAAATGTGTCAGGTTTGTGTTTGCTAAACTGGAGGTAGAACTGTCGGAAGGTTTTCTCCACAAATCTCAATGATGTTTGGGGAATATGCAGGCCTTCGTTGAGAGTTTCTCGACAAAAGCCATGACACATTTATTCTATATTTCAACATTCAGAAAAAGGAGCATCCAGGCCACGAGTAGTACAGAGCCATGCTGGCAAGAGTTTAGTTGAGCATAGTAACAATATATCCAATTCTGTTATAGACATTGCAGAACCATTTTCTTGACCTGTAGAGAAGACCTTTCAACATATGAAATAAATTTCTATTTTCCCACTTAGATTTGATTTTGAAATAACAGTAGCAAATCATAACTTTTTTGTTCCATCTCGAACCCATGCCAACAGTTCATTTGGTGAAGTGAATTTTTTATCGGTCTTGAACTGTAGCCGACAACCAATACAATACATGATTGGAGGTATATTATATTGTCAACTTTCACATTGACAATTTGAGGTACATTGTCAAATTTCACTTCGATAACTCTCATTAGTGAGAGAATCATGAAGAGCATTCATATTTAGAGCGATGTAATTCAATTTTAAAACACAAGTGCTTCAGGAAACACATAATTCATAACATAGGATTCAAACGTTCATTTGATGCATGCTCGAATTCAATAATCTAAGTTATACTAGTACATAGTGTGACGTTAATGGAATGAATATGCTATAAATACAACGAGGAGGGTTTTACAGTTACGCGACGGTGTGTCTGGAGTCTATTGATGATTTGATTATTCTTTGAAACATAGATTTTGTATTTTTGAAGAGTTTTTGGTAGGGTTTGTTAATACTTTAGAGGACGTCTCTCATCAGTGTTCACATGTGTAGGAGCTAGTAAGGTTACTCAGGTCACAAATTGGTCTAAAATTTTTGAGCAGTTAATGAAAAAGTATTAAAAGTTTATTCAGACCTACATGTTATTAACCTTTATCATTCACTCTCTTAAAAGTTTATTTACAAACAAATCGTTAACCAATTATTTTCAGACCTACATGTATACAAAACTAATTGTCTCATGTGAAAATAGCATACACAATTAATTATCTCATGTGAAAATAGCTTATATTACCTTTATTCTATATGTTATAACTTTATTTAAAACTGTGCGTGCGCGCGCGTGGATCACAACTATTTCCAGCACTAGGTGTATAGAAAGTTAATGGTCTTTTAGGATACTGATCCAGTGCGTGAAGCATATCACAGCTATTTCCAGCGCTAGGTGTATAGAAAATTAATGGTCTTTTAGGATACTGTTCCAGCGCATGAAGCATATCACAACTATTTCCAGCGCTAGATGTATAGAAAACTATGGTCTTTTAGGATATTGATCATGTGAAAATAACAACTTATATTTCCTTGTTATGCTTAGTGGCATTATATTGAAAATAAACAAATGAAGTATTCATTTAGCCGTAGGAATATTACTAATAAAGTGACAGGAAATAAACATATGAAATACCAAGATGCAATGCAAACCTTGCTAAATTCAGATAAAAATGGTATTGCAGGCTGTAGCAACAAATTAGTTTCTGAATGACTTGGATGCGCAGCACAGTTTTTTCTTCCATTTTGAAAATAGAAATCGTGCTAAAACAGATCTAGGATCAACTTTGTCATGAGGATCACTAAGGTATATACAATACAATGTTACATCAATGTTGCTTACAACTCATGAGTCATGTCTCTCAACTCAAAATATGCTCACGAACAAGTTGTAAAAATTAAAACATGATTTTTCAAACAACACCTCCACATAAGCTAATCACAATTCACAACAAAATGCAGCCTATAAGAAAACACTGCTCCTTTTTTATTTTCATTATTATGGATCATCAAAGCAGTTGCGGAAATCAACTCTGGCAGATAATTGCTGCTCGTCGTACTCCAGCAATCGTCTCCTTTACTGAATCCTGAATAAAACCAGAAGAGATACGGGAGTAAATTATAGTCACAGAGAAATGTGAAGCTAAATGAGTAATGTTAAAAGTTGTCAAAGAGGAAATTTATACCTGAGATGCCACTGTTTCCATCTTGGTTCCAGTCACCCCATCCCCCTTTGAGGCCCCTGGTTGATCTGCAAACAGGCTAAACAATAAAAATATCTCAAAAATGTTCCACACAACACAAAGACTAAGTCAGCAAATCTGATGGATGTAGCAGTAAACATATAGCCTTAAAACACAATAAATTTATGTCGTAAAAAAAAAAAAAAATCAACTTGATGTGGTCTTGTTGTATGCTGATGCAAATATTGAAATTAACAAAGTTTATTGATGACATACCAAAAAAGTATTCCTGTGAGTCACCCCGAGAGAGAGACATGAAATTTTGTGATCAATCTTATGCAAACTGGCTTACAATAACGGGAAGTCTTCAAACTTGGTAGGAAAACCATCTTTGGTAATAGATTGCAGATTTGGAAGATTTTAAATTTCCATTTCTTGAAGGCTTGCTAGAGTGTTTACAGGTTCTAATAGTGCAAAAGTTTCTTACACTTTGGCACTGTAAAATAGTTCACCATTCACCACAATGATCCTAGCTACTAACTTTCTAACAATTACTAACAACTAACTTTTACTGTTTAAAGTAATATATGTTCACCACAAGAAAATACTTGATTCAGGTTCAATTACAGTTTATTATTGATACCAGTGCTTTATCTACTTTAGAGATGTTAGATAACCAGTTTTGTATGCTGATGTGAATGTTAAGAAACCAGATTTATTGACGGCAAAACAACAAACGAGAGAAACTCAAAAAACAAGTACAATTTATACCTTAAATTCCATTACTGCTATCTTGTTGCAAGTCACCAATCCCGTTTGCAGCCCAAGGCCGATCTGCAAATAGGAGAGAGATAAATAAATCGAAATTAAAGACAAAGCCACCAAATCTGGTTGATGAACTTGTAAACAACAAAACATAAAGTCTCAAAAATCAAAACATAATTTAGAACGAAATAACTTTCTTAACATCTCATACATGACAAGAAAGGCTATAAGGCTAATCACCTTAAGAAACCTTTTCAAGGAAAGAGGTCTAATTGCAGTTATTTCGAATACATGAGGAAAAAATATCAAGTCAAAACAGTTAGATAAAAAAAAGAATATGTGGAAATACATAAATGATCTTCATTAGACTAATATAGTAAAGATGAATTTAATTAGTGTTACAAAATCTTGATAAAATCCATGTATTAAAAACCAACTCATTCAAATATATATATAAATTCACATAGACAAAAAAGAGTACCTAACATATTTGTGGTCAATGGCTGTTTCTCCTTTTCATCATCTCCTGATCAATAAAACATTTACTGGATTTGGTTGCAGTCAGTGCATGTGAATTTGGCATCTAACAACAGCAAGATTGGGTAGAAGCAAGGGTGACATAGAATTTAGTGCAACAATTAAAAAATGAGTTAGCACTATAATATTGTATTCTGAGGTTATTACTTAATAATATTAAATGATGAGTACATAATAAGAAAGAAACAAAAAAGAAGTACTTCAGAGACTCACCAAGACATGAAACTTATGTGATCAATTCGTCGTCGATAATTATGGCAGGAATGTGAGCAACCTTACGCCACTCTTTCCCTCGCTTCCTCCGCAATGCTGCTATCAATAATGGACAGCGAGTGATACTTAGTACTGAAAGAGAGGAAGGCAATCCTTTGGGCAACGACTTGAGTTTGGGAGCGTTAATAATCTCAAGGGTTTGGAGAGAATTGAGATGTTGAAGCCACATCCCATCAATGCTTGTATCATTAAGACCATGAATGCATAATGTCACAAGCGATGCAGGTAGAAATGACCTTATCAGCGTGTTCACTGTACCATCACCGGTAATTCGCAACACTGAAAGACAAGTGAGACGTTCCCAAGTTGGCTCAATAATCCCTCCAACAGAGCCAACAGTCAGTTCCCGCAAAGCGTAAGGTAAATCATCTATGACAAACGATTGAAGATTTGGTAGATTATCAATTTCCATTTCTTGAAGATTAGTTAGATTGTGCATTGCTTCAGGCAGTGAAGGAAGCTTCTCACACTTCCATATTGCAAAATAAACAAGGTTTGGAGTGGCCAATCCACCTGGGGGAAATAACTGCAATTCAGTACAATCCCATATTTTGATGCTTCTAAGAAATGAGAGACTCTTTAGTGACACATCTTCTACGATTAATATTGATTTCAGATTTTTACAACCCTCAATAAACAGTCTCTTGAGGACAGGGAGAGCACCCAAGGTAAATGATGTCATTGAATTGCAGCTATAAGATATTTTCAGCTCCTCAAGCGATGTGTAATTGGACAAGTATTCATGAGCAAGGAACTCTAGATTTTCACAATTATTGATTATGAGAAATTTCAAGGTTTTTGGTAGACCGTCTTCTGGAAAAGACATTGAAGATGGAATGCCGTCTATGGTCAATTGTTGAAGAGAACTCAAAGGGAAGATCAGTTGCTGGAATACATGATCAGATAAATGCATTGATTGAACCAGTAAAGGACATTCTCTTAACTCAAGTTCAGTTAAGGAAGGAAATTTGTCAGCTATGTTTCCTACTATCAGTTTCGGGCACTTACTTAGTGACAAAGTTTTGAGACAAGGAAACTTTATATATGTACCTCCAGTTAAGTTCCATGCATCCCACTCCTGCATTTCCACAAAATGTAGGATCTCTAAGGAGGGAAATGGTTGAAATGAAGAGCTATTACTTCCATAAAACTCAGTACCAATTGTTTGTACTGATGGCATCCCTTCAATAAAGAGCTCTTTTAGATTCTCTAATTGTCCAAGGGGTGGAAGCCATAAACAATCATCACAATTTGAGATCTTTAAATACACCATGTTTCTAAATGAAAAATCACCTAACCAATTTGGAAAGCTGATTCCACCACAACCTTTGATAGTGAGACTTTCCAAATTTGTTGAGGGTTGTAAATGTTCAAGTACTGCACTTTGTATTTGTGAATCTGGAAAAGTACTACCATAGTCCCATTCCAAAGCTAATTCTTTTATATGTTCTTTCATCTTTGTATTGGCTTGATCTACTTCAAAGGGGTCATTAACATTTTGTAGTTGTGAGATGGAAAGTTTTCCATGTAGGTTAGGGAATTTTCCCAAATCTGCAACCTTTAATCCATCATTATGTTTGCTGACAACAAAGTCGGACAAAGTGTGTAGATTTTCTAGTTTGGCTATTTGTACGGGCATCTTCTTCAATGAAGTGTCACTAACGTCAAGGTGGTGAAGATTTACCAATTTTCCCATGTCCTCAGGCAATTCAGTGAGCCTTTTACAACCTCCTAACAACAGGAACTGCAGATTGTAAAGGTTGCATGTTTCAGATGGCAGCCTTTCAATATTAGTGTGAGAAAGATTTAAGTACTGCAGGTATAACAAATCTCCAATAGACTTGGGAACCTCGGTGATATTCTTGTAGTTGGACAAAGACAACACGCATAATTGTTTCATTGTAGGCAACAAGTCATGGATTACCTGGTTTGAAAGCAAACAACGAGGCGATTGTTTTTGTAATGGCAATGCTAGGAAGGTACGTAGATATTTTAATCCATACAACTTATTAAATTTATCAAATGAGTCATATAGCCCTCGATTGTATGACAAATTTTTTACCATTACATGTAGGTAATGTTCGCCCAACCTGATACAATATGAAGATGAAACCATCGTAGCTAAGTCGTGGACAAGGTTATGCATTTCAAAGTTTTCTTCCTTGTTCTCAGTAGACCGCCGTTGTATCAATGATTTTGACACGAGTACATCAAAGTATTCTTCTCCAACTTTCCATCTTTCCAGACCTGTGAACGAGCCTACCAAGTCTTCTGCGATCCACAACTGAACAACCATTTCTTTTTCTAAGATGGAGTTCTTTGGAAAAATAGAGCAATATGCAAAGCATCGTTTTATAGGAGGCGAAAGATAATGGTAGCTTGATTCTAAAGCAGCATGCACCTCAGGAATTGTCGATTCCCAAATGTTACTTTTTAGCACAGAATTCCAGTCATTTGAAAACAATTTGCCGTAAAGAACATCCCCAAGTTCTACTGCAGATAATGGTAATCCATCACAATTTTTTGCAATTGGCCTACCAATTTCTTCTAGATAGGATCGCTGTTGGTCATTACATGTTCCAAATGCATATCTGGCAAATAAAGACCAGCAATCTTCATTTTGTAGAGGCCTCAAATAGTGGACAGAGAGAATCATTTGCATGGATCTTGCAACTGTTTCATCGCGTGTTGTGATGATGATTTTACTTCCCATTTCCCCAGCATTAAAGGTATCCATCAAACTGATCCAATTAATAGAATTTGTATCCCACACATCATCCAGCACGAGCAAAAATTTGGAAGTATTTAAAATTCGTTGCAATGACATTAATAGAAGATTCTGGTAAATGGTGTATTTTCCTTTTGCAATGTGAGATTCAAGAATTTGAGAACTCAGGACGTTTCCATTACTAATTGATTGTGAAGTGATAGATTTAAGAATGGTTTCAAAAACTCTAACAGCGTCGGAATCTTTTGAGATATATGCCCATACTTTTAACTCAAATTCGTCCTTTACTTGTGGATGATTGTAAAGGTGTTTAGCAAGGAATGTTTTACCAATCCCTCCCATACCAACAAGAGAAATCCCTCTTATTTTACTATCACAGTCACTAGTACTAGACAACAAAAGATGTTTAAGTTTCTGAATATCAGCGTCTCTTCCATAAATAGAAGAACCATCCTCCAAAACAGAATTCGTAGGAGTTCCATGCCAAACACGGCTGCGATTAGAAAACTCCAATCCATCTTGTTCTCCTCTCAAAATCAAACGTTCTAATCTTTCAGTTAGATCTAGAACTTTAGAATGAATGACCTCATGAAACTGTTTGAAAGGAGAGGAAAACATGTTTCGCACCTTAGTAGCAGGAGTTAGGGTTTGATCGGGAGCTTCCTCAGTGTTGATTTGGTGAAACAGTGCGTCAACTTGATAGGCAAGATCTATCAGCGAATCCAGCCATTTGGTGTTCTTGAAATAATGACGAAGTAAAGGTTGAACCCTCGCCAGTGTTTTCTTCAGTTTTATCAACAATGAAACGTCAACCGTTGTATCCGAGAAATCAGTAGAAATAAGCTTTTGTAACAACGCCTCCATAGAAGCTGAGACCAGTGTTTCTCCGACAATAACCGCCGCCATATGTTGATTTACTTGTAAGATGAAGAAAAGTTTCAGAGAGAAATGCAATTGTATGAAGAAAAGTTTCAGAGAGAAATGCAATTGTATGAAGAATAGCTTCAGAGAGAAATGCAATTGTATGAAGAAAAGTTTCAGAGAAAAATGCAATTGTATGAAGAATAGTTTCAGAGAGAAATGCAATTGTAGGAAGAAAAGCTTCAGAGAGAAATGCAATTGTAGGAAGAAAAGTTTCAGAGAGAAATGCAATTGTATGAAGAATAGCTTCAGAGAGAAATGCAATTGTATGAAGAAAAGTTTCAGAGAAAAATGCAATTGTATGAAGAATAGTTTCAGAGAGAAATGCAATTGTAGGAAGAAAAGTTTCAGAGAGAAATGCAATTGTATGAAGAATAGCTTCAGAGAGAAATGCAATTGTATGAAGAAAAGTTTCAGAGAAAAATGCAATTGTATGAAGAATAGTTTCAGAGAGAAATGCAATTGTAGGAAGAAAAGCTTCAGAGAGAAATGCAATTGTACGAAGAATAGCTTCATCTAATAGCTTTCTTCCAATTTCAACAAGTGCCCAACTGTACGCTCCCTTATACTAACTTTAAATAAATTGTTCACTTCTGTTCGGCACTTTCGCTTTATTTGGGAGAAAGAAAAAGTGAAAGGAAATGGTAAAAGAAAGAATGTTAAAAAATGATTGAAAATTGTTAGACAGTGTTGTGAAACTAAGAGGAAACAACGATTTATTTAATAAATGACACAACAACTTTATGTATAAAAAATGGTATATAGGAATATAGGATTAAAAGAGAGTCTCTATTTAAGGGTAAGCTAATTTGTTTTCTAAAAGCACAAGAGATAAATATAGTAAATTTTTTTAAGGAAATTGTTAATAAATTTAATATAATTTTATAATTAATAATTTTATTGTTCTTTTTAATATAAATTTACTATTTATTGTTTTTTTTAACTTGTGCTCTTGAGACACAAGTTAGCATTACCCTATCGTTAATTTTTGGCTTAATTAATCATAAAGTTTTTTAATTTAATTTTAGATTTTATTTTAGTCTTTTAGGCCATAGGTAGTATATAAAGTTTGAATAACTTTTTGTGTACATTAGTCATGTATGTAAGATATTAGTTAACCTATACAATAAAAGAGGGATAAAAGATGCTTCATCTGAATGATGATTAGTGCATAGAGTTTAGTTAAAATTTGAAGCTCTGAGTGATGTATGAGCAGAGGTTATTATTGTAACTAAACATTGTATTAAAACAATTAATTTGTTGGTTAACCAAAAAGTAGCCATTCGATTTAATGTGTCTTATTGTGAGCTTATTTCAAATATTTACTTGTATTTATTTATTTATTAAAGCTTTCAAACTGATATTAACAAACAGAATGTCTCGGCTGCAAAGTATTTCATATGCAACATATCAAAGTTTTTTTCATTGGTCTCTTATTTTTTATTTCGATGTTACAAGTGTTGTGTGAATACTAAAATGATAACAATTAGTAAGAATTCTACCATTGATCATTCAAGCCCTTACTACTTACATCCTGCTGAAAATCTAGACACTACTATTATTTCACCTCCATTATCAGAGAACAACTATGAATCTTGGACTAGATTAATGAAGAGAGTTCTTTTAAAAAATAACAAGATCAAGTTTATTAATGACAAGATCATTGCTCATGATGGATCAGATCCATTGTTCAACGCGTGGGAACGCTACATCAACATTGTGCTAGCATGAATATTTGCGTCTCTTTCTCTGAACATAGCACAGAGCACCATCTATGTCGATAATCTTTCTCAACTCTAGACTGATCTCCAACATTGATTTTCTAAAATTGATCATAAGATTATCATACCTTCTTCAACACATTCATTATATGCGCCATGGAGAGAAATCGGTAACAACGTACTTCAATGAACTCAAAATACATCGAAAAGATCTTGAAACTCTACGAGCTCTTCCAACTTGCACTTGTGGTGCTCATGCTACACCTAGCATATCAAAGCTTTTTTCATTGATCTCTTATTTTTTTTTATTTTGATGCTACAAGTGTTGTGTGAATACTAAAATGATAACAATTGAGAAAAATTAAAAAACAACACAAATATATTTTACCCCTATAACATGAGCGATTTATGATTTACCCTCTCGTAATAATTTTTTTTAAAAAATTAAAATTAAATAAAAATTAAAAAAAATTAAAAATGCCACGTGGAATTTTTAAAATTATTTGCTGATGTGAATTAAAAAAAAAATAAATGACACATACTCGCCACATCAGCAAATAATGCACTCAAGGGTCATAGTGAAGGAATCTTCACAATACAAGGGGGAAATTAAAAAAAAAACAATTTTACAGGGGTAAACCGAAACTCGTTGTAATACCCCAAATTTTACCCTTAGATTAGTCGGTTCATTTCGCATTTCATCTCATTCTGCACTGCAATGTAAACTAACCGCTAACCAGTTTACTCAGTCGGTTGGTTTTGCAGGAAAAATCACACTATACGCGATTTAATTGGTGAGGGGCAAAAGGGTCATTAATTTGCAGTCTGCTGACAGTTTAGGAAGCAAAGTCGTCCTCAGGAATCCCTCGAATGATTAGGGTTTCCATCTCCGAGTCATGTGACATATTTGAGGAAGGGTTGAATTTTACGGTAGTATTGACGTCATATTTCTTGTGACACAGTATATTTTATTCCAGAACCGAGATTTAGTCGTCAGGTGGATTTCAGAAATGTTTGATTCCTAAACCATATGGAGCTGAATGTGTTGAGATATCAGGGGATTCAGGTTTAATCAGTGCGAGAATTTGCTTTGTGGAATTTATTCTGACAGACATACGTTTTCCTACTTTCTGCTACCCACTAGTCGATTTTGAAAAAAACAGTGGAATTTCGGTTCGTGTTGAATTTATAATGAACATCTGTTGGTTTGATCATGATTATCAGTCGAGCTGATTCAGGTTACCGAGTTAAATCATTCGAGATGTGATTCGAGTTTTAAATGCGGAAGACAGTTTGTTTCGCCGTTTAATCAAATTTCTCTGCTTATCCGTTCAAGGCCATATTCATTGACTTTATTATCATATACGAATTCATATTGCAAAGGGATTGGTTTGAACTCAGCAGTTACGTCAGATTTAAGTCGGGCAAGATGATTAATTGTCAAATTTGGAGTTTGGAACGTCGAAGCTTAATCAGATAATTTTCATTCGATTGAATTTAATTATATGAATCTATTCGGATGAGTTTAATCAGATGGAGTCAGCTGTTTGAATTTAATTAGATGATTTTTAATCGAATGAACTTAATCAGGTGAATTTATTTGGACGAGTTTAATCAGATGAATTAGTCGGGTAGATTGGATCAGATAAATTTATTTGTGTAAATTTAAGCAGATGAACTTAGTTGGACGAATTTCATTGGATGAATTTATCTGGACGAATTTGTTTGGAGGAACTTAATCAGTTGAATTTAGTCGGATAAACTTAATTAAATGAATTTATTCGGTTGAGTTTAATCGGATGAATTATTTGGAGCAATTTGATCGGAAAAATAAATTCAGTGTATTAAGAAAAAAATGGAATTTATTTAAATTCTATATTTTTTATATTACAATATACAAAAATAACTACAATTTTAAATTCATTCCTAAAAAGTCCTAATTTTTCTAAGATTGTCTTCGTGCCGATCTTCATCTTCGACTTTTTTCCGAACCTGCAAAAAATACCCACAACAGAGAAAGCAATCGTTAAGTGTTAGAATTAATCAGAGATGGGTTTTGTTTGTAATCTGATACCCTCAGTAAAATTCATCATCGGGTACGTCGAGAGGGCAACAACGACGAGGTCGTCGCCAGCTCCCGACTTTTATTTTTCGACCCCGGCACCGACCCGACAATTGCTGTTCCAATTTAGTCCAGGAGAGAGAAAAAGTGATTTTGGAAAAAGCGCATGTCCTAAAAAATGTTTTTGCCAAACAAGTCATAAACATATTTTCTCAAAAAATTCTAAACTGCAACCAGATCAAACAACCAACTAAACAAGATCATAACGCAACAAATTTTCCCCAAATCCAGTTTAACTAACAACCAAAATGAGACCAAATCAGAAGCATAACAAATTTCCTAAAAATTATTGCTCCAGTTCAAACACAAACAAAAGAAAAACCATAAGATTCACGTTCAACAACTAAACAACAAATGAATCCTGAAAAATCGCAACCAAAATCGTAACCAAACATACACGCCCAAGCCCAAACTAACAAATCCATATAAGCATCACATGAACATCATGAGGAGATAATCAGACGAACCCAGAAAAATAAAGGGGAAAGCCTCAGTTCATCATCATCATTAGAAGGGGAAAAGGGTCGCGAGTCAGAAATAAGAAGAGCAAAAGGGGCGGTTCATCATAAGGTCATCAGAAAAATAATAGAAAAGAGGAAGAAGATCAACGAACATCAAGGATCTCAAATACCATCACCGTTCATCGTCCACGAGCGCCATAGCCACCGCAAGAGAAGCCACTTCGAACCCAAAAAAGAGGGTGAGCAGGTTATCTTTGTTAACAGTTTCATTTTATTTCTTTGCTCGCAGGAAGAAGAAGCAAAGACGGACGAACGAGATGGGGGCGAAAAAGTGAAAAAAACTCAAAGCTCAGCCATGGAGGCCAGCGGCGCCGCAACAAGAACGAAGATGGAAAACAACAAAACCCTAGTCAAATGCTTCAGCAAGACCCTGACGTCTTATATCTTCACTTTTTCTTTTTCTTTTTTTATTTTGATTTTATTTTAGTTTCTATTCATTAACTTAATTTTGTCTAAATGATCCTAATTGTGTTTATATTTCTAATTAAAACTTGTTAAATAATAGTTTTATTAAATTAAAACCTTAGTTGGGAATGTAATTTTTCTTAACTAAAAATTTAATTTTTCATATAATTTCAAATTAACATTTTTAAAAAAGGGAACTTCTAACTTCAAAAAGAT